GTGGCTGGCGCCTTAGCCGGTTGAGCTATAGGCGCCGAGCCATGATTCACTCTTAATGTCATCAAATAACCAATATACAGATCTTCCCAAATGTCTTATAAATGGTGTTTCGTAGTGTAGTTTATCTCTTACTGTGTTTGGTTAATAAGCCACATCTTACCCTTTGTCTCTCCATACTAAAGAACTCTCATCTTGGGCAGCGCCTGTGGCTCAGTGGGTAGGGGACCTGTAGTCCCAGCTACTTAGGAGGCTGAAGCAAGAGAATCACTTAAGCCTGGGAGTTGGAGGTTGCTGTGAGCTTTGTGATGCCATGGTATTCTACTAAGGGCAATAAAATGAGACTGTCTCTTAAAAAAAAAAAAGAAAAAAGAACTCTCATCTTTTTAGTCTCACATGGCTACTTAACCCATCCATCCCAGCTCAGCCTTACCACATCTGTTTATCACTCTCTAGTGTCTTCAGCCACTTGTCATTAATGCTTTGACTAAGTTCTCTAGTTTTCTTCAGCAGGAGGATTGGTTGGAATTACCTAATCTACCATTGCCAGCCTTTATTACTTTAAAATCGTGTGTTGGCCAGGCATGATCGCTCACACCTGTAATCCCAACACTCTGGGAGGCCAAAATGGGTGGATTGTCTGAGCTCAGGAGTTTAGCCTGAGCCAGAGTGAGACCTCGTCTCTAAAAATAGCCAGGCACTGTAATGGCCACCTGTAGTCCCAGCTACTTGGGAGGCTGAGGCAAGAGGATCACTTGAGCCAAGTGAGCTACGCTGTGAGCTATGATGCCATAGTACTACTAAAGGCAACAAAGTGAGACTTTGTCTCAAAAAAAATCATGTGTAGGGTGGCGCCTGTGGCTCAGTGAGTAGGGCACCAGCCCCATATACTGAGGGTGGCAGGTTTGAACCTGGCCCCAGCCAAACTGCAACAAAAAAAATAGCCGGGCGTTGTGACAGGTGCCTGTAGTCCCAGGTACTCAGGACGCTGAGGCAAGAGAATTGGCTAAGCCCAAAAGCTGGAGGTTGCACTCTACTGAGGGTGACAAAGTGAGACTCTGTCTCTAAAAAAAAAAAATCATGTGTACATATTAATTGTAATTGAAATGAATACGGAGGAAATATTAGTGGAGCTCAAAGACGATATTGGAACTCATTATAGCCAAGTACTACAATGAAATATATACACATTCTTTCTATAAATTTACAAATCTCATTTGTACTAATCAATTTTTTCTGTTTGTCAGAATTGCATGATTTGGTGTTCCTAGCACAGTGGTTATGGTGCCAGCCACATACACCAAAGCTAGCGGGTTTGAACCCAGCACTGGCCAGCTAAAACAGTAATGACAACTGCAACAAAACATAGCCAGGCTTTGTGGCGGGCATCTGTAGTCCCAGCTATTTGGGAGGCTGAGGCAAGAGAATCGCTTAAGCCCAAGAGTTGGAGGTTGCTGTGAGCTATGACGCCATGGCATTCTACCGAGGGTGCCACAGTGAGACTCTGTCTCAAAAAAAAAAAAAAAATTGCAAAGAAAAATAACAGTAAGAAGGAAGAGGCAAGACTACCTAGAGGAAATAGGAATGGATAATGGATACTGTAGTTATTTATAATTTCCATTTTCTTACAGAACTTACTAAGAAGGAATACACTGAGAGCAGAATGATTGCTGATTAAATACTCCATTTTCCCCCCTTTTTTCAGAAAATAGAAGCACGGGTGTCTGCTGATGAGGACCTCAAACTTTCTGACCTTTTAAAATATTACTTAAGAGAATCTCAAGCTGCTAAGGTAACTTTATTGTTTGCTGTTTTGTAAAATGAGCTATTTTAGGAAAAGCCAAAAATCTTATCTTTTTTTCTTTCCTTTTTTGAGACAGTGTGTTATTTTGCCACCCTCAGTAGAGTGCTATAGTGTTATAGCTCATAGCAACCTCAAACTCTTGGGCTCAAGCAATTCTCTTGCCTTAGCCTCAAGTAGCTGGGACTATAGGTGCCTGACATAATACCAGGCTATTTTTAGAGACGGGGTCTTACTCTGGCTCACGCTGGTCTTGAAATTCTAAGCTCAGGCAATCTGCCCACCTCAGTCTCGCAGAGTGCTAGGATTATAGACATGAGCCACCCTGCCCATCCCCAAAAGCCATTCCTCTTTGATTTTTTTTTTTTTTTTTTTGAAACAGTCTTAGTATGTCACCCTTGCTAGAATGCCATGGCGTCACAGCTCATGGTAACCTCAAATATTTGGGTTTAAGGGATTATCTTGCCTGAGCCTCCCAAGGCTGGGACTACAGGTGCCCGCCACAATGCCCAGCTATTTTTTTGTTTTAGTTGTCATTGTTATTTAGCTGGCCCGGGCTAGGCTCAAACCCGCCAACCTCAGTGTATGTGGCTGGCGCTGTAACCACTGTGCTATGGGTGCCGAGCCCAAAAGTCATTTCTTTTTTTTGAGACAGAGCCTCAAGGTGTTGCCCTAGGTAGAGTGCTGTGGCATCACAGCTCACAGCAACCTCCAACTCCTGGGCTCAAGCGAGTCTCCTGCCTCTGCCTCCCAAGTAGCTGGGACTACAGGTGCCCGCCACAATGCCCAGCTATTTTTGGTTGCAGCCGTCATTGTAGTTTGGCAGGCCAGGCTGGATTCGAACCCGCCAGCTCAGGTGTATGTGGCTGGTGTCTTAGCCAATTGAGCCACAGGTGCCGAGCTGAAAAGCCATTTCTTTAGGGGGCCAAGGCAGGAGGATTGCTGAGCCTGGCAGTTGAAGGTTGCATTGAGCTATGATTGCACCATTGTACTCCATCCATGGGTGACAGATTGAGACCCTGTGTCTCTCCTGCCCCCCCCCCCCCCCCCAGGAAGTCCCCCTGGTGTGGGTGGAACAACACTACCAGAAAACTTCCAGCATCATTTACTGTGAAGCATTTTGTCTTACAGGATCTCCTCTACCGGAGGTCTAGGTCACTGGTGGATTATGAAAATGCTAATAAAGCACTAGATAAAGCAAGAGCGAAAAATAAAGATGTTCTGCAGGCTGAAACTTCCCAACAATTATGTTGTCAGAAATTTGAAAAAATATCTGAATCTGCAAAACAAGGTACTGTTGTTACTAACATTTAGGTATGCTTTATGACTGTTGTGTAAATTAAATTACATAGTTAACCCTGATTTCTTTTGTTCACAGAACTTATAGATTTTAAGACAAGAAGAGTTGCTGCCTTCAGAAAAAATTTAGTAGAACTGGCAGAGTTGGAACTGAAGCATGCTAAGGTAATGTTATATCAAAGATTTAGCAACTTAAATGATATTATTAGGAAATTAATCATTTATGAAATTGATAATCCTTCCAGAACAGTTACTGTCTACAGGAATACTGTAAGAACTATTCCTGAACTGGAACTACCTTTTCCTACATTATTTCACTGCCTAAAAATAGTTGGATTTAGTTAATAAATATCCTTCTGTTTTTTAAGAGTCACTGTACCTGGTCCTCTTATCTTTTTTACAGTATTTGTACACCTAAAATTCAACCCTTTCTTGTATTTAATACTTTGCCCAAACCTTAGGGTAATACTAACAAAAGAGAATCTTAGAATTGAGAGGGATTTTAGAGATCATTTAAGTGAGAATATTATCTCCAATTTCTGTAATGGTCAGCTATGAAATAATCTAGTACCCAATATGGAAAACAGTGTCATTTTTTGACTACTTGTTTAAAAAACCTTTCTTAATTAAAATCTCATTATAAATTTATTTATTGCTTGCTACTCTCTGAGTTAAAAATCAAAAATGTATTCAAAATTTCCAAAACTAAGTATAAAAGAAATTTTTTGTTTTTTAGACAAAAAAAAACCAAAAACCTTAGTCTCCCAAGTAGCTAGAACTACAAGTGCCCGCCACAATGCCTGGCTATTTTTGGGTTGTAGTTGGCCTAGGCTGGATTTGAACCTGCCGGCTCCAATGCATGTGGCTGGTGCCCTAGCCACTGAGCTACAGGTGCTGACCCACTATAAAAGAAATTAAGATGAACTTTTTTTTTTTTTTTTGAGATACAGTCTGTGTCACCCTCAATAGAGTGCTGTGTGTCACAGCTCACAGCAACCTCCAACTCTTGGGCTTAAGTGATTCTCTTGCCTCAGCCTCCCAAGTAGCTGGGACTACAGGCATGTGCCACAATGCCTGTTGCAGTTGTCATTGTTTTAGCTGGCCCAGGCTGGGCTCAAACCCACCAACCTCAGTGTATGTGGCTGGTGCTATAACCATTGTGCTACAGGCGCTGAGCCAAGATGAACTTTTATTTTATTTATTTCTTTATTTTTTATTAAATCATCACTGTGTACATTGATGCATTTATGGTATTCAGTGTACTGATTTGATATACAATGTGAAACGCTTACATTGAACTAAGTAACACATCTATCACAATTATACTCCTTTCTTAATAGTTTTGAAATGTACCATTGCATCATGCACATTAGGTGACGAAGATGAACTTTTTTTTGTTTTTGAGACAGAGTCTCACTTTGTCACCCTCAGTAGAGTGCTGTGGCATTCCAGCTCACAGCAACGTCCAACTCCTGGGCTTAGGCGATTCTCTTGCCTCAGCCTCCCGAGTAGCTGAGACTACAGGTGCCCGCCACAATTTCTGGCAATTTTTTTTTGTTGTTGCAGTTTGGCCGGGGCCAGGTTCAAACCCACCACCCTCAGCATATGGGGCCAGCACCCTACTCACTGAGCCACAGGCACCGCCCACACATTTAATTTTTAAAATCATGCTTTTGGCTCAGTGCCTATAGGTCAGTGGTTATGGCACTGGCCACATACACTGGGGCTGGCAGGTTCAAATCCAACTTGGGCTTGCTAAATGACGACAACCACAATGAAAAAAATGGCCAGGGGCTATGGCGAGCAGCTGTAGTCCCAGCTACTTGGGAGGCTGAGACAAGAGTATTGCTTAAGCCTAAGAGTTTGAGGTTGCTGTGAGCTGTGACACCATGGCACTGTGCCGAGGGCAACATAAATAAAATAAAATAATGTTTCTGGGGCTGGGCAAGGTGGCTCACTCCTATAATCTTAGCACTATGGGAGGCCGAGGCAGATGGATTGCCTAAGCTCACAGGTTTGAGACCAGCCTAAGCAAGAGCAAGACCTTGCTTCTAAAAATAGCCAGGCATTGTGGTGGGCACCTGAGGCAAGAGAATTGCTTAAGCCCAAGAGTTTGAGGTTGCTTTGAGCTATGATGCCACAGAACTGTACCACAGGCAATGACACTCCGTCTCCAAAAATAAAAAATAAAAAGGACCACAAGGCCGGAAGCAGAGGCTCACACCGCAATCCTAGTGCTCTGGGAGCCCGAGGGAGGAGGATCACCTGAGCTCATAAGTTTTAGACCAGCCTGAGCAAGAGCAAGACCCCTGTCTCTACCAAAAAACTAGAAAAAATTAGCCAGAAATAGTGGCTCGTGATTGTAGTCCCAGCTATTTGGGAGGCTGAGGCAGAAGGATCACTAGAGCCCATGAATATGAGGTTGCAGGAAGCTAGGCAGATGATGCGGCACTCTTGTTGGTGTGACAGAGCTTAGACTCAGTCTCCCCCCCCCCCAAAAAAAAACCAGCCCAACATTTATTAATGTTGATAAAGTACCATTATTTAATCCTCAGACCTTATTCTCATTTTGCCAGTTGTCCCAGTAATATCCTTGGTGGCAAGAGGAAATAGAAGATAACATACTGCATTTAGGGCACGTATCTTTTTAGACTAATCTAGAGAAGTTCCTGAGTCAGTGCATTTAAAAACATTGACATTTTTGAGAATGTCAATTCTGTGTATAGAATGTCCCTCAATTTGGGTTTGTTTGAGGTTCCCTGATGACTGGATTTGGCTGTGAGTTTTTGGCAGAACACCACATTCTCTTTGCATCACATCAGGAAGCCCATGCCCTGGATGAGTTGCCTTGATGATAAGTGTTAACTGCAGATTCTCAGTTGCAAAGTTCCTTTTTTACACTTTGGAAGTAAAAAGTATTCTGTGGGGAGATACTTTGGGACTGTGCAAATATCTCATACCTAACCAGTGCTTTCCAGAAGTTTGTGCAACAAGGAAAATGCTCTGTAGTCAGCCCTGCTTGGTGTCATAGCGATGTGGCTTTGGAACACCTGAGATGTGGGTAGTGCCACTAAGGAACATTTTTTTTTTTTTCCAGGAGACAGAGTCTCTATCACCTTTGGTAGAGTGCTGTGGCATCACAGCTCACAGCAACCTCCAACTCCTGGGCTTAGGTGATTCTTTTGCCTCAGGCTCCCGAGTAGCTGGGACTACAGGTGCCTGCCACAGTGCCCGGCTATTTTTTGTTGGAGTTTGGCTGGGGCAGGGTTTGAACCCACCACCCTCGGTATATGGGGCTGGCATCCTACCCACTGAGTCATAGATGCTGCCCTGCCACTAAGGAACTTGATTCAGTTTTAGTAGATGGATCTTTAAGACTTCAATAGTGAATGGCTTCCGGTTTGGCAATACAGCTCCACACTGATTTTAGCATCCATTGATGATTCTTGCCTGCATCAGTTACAGTTATGATGGTTACCAAATGTTGATTTTCTAATTCCATCATTTATTTATTTATTTATTGAGATAGAGTCTCATTATGTCGCCCTCAGTAGAGTGCTGTGATGTCATAGCTCACAGCAACCTCCAACTCTTGGGCTTAAGTGATTCTCTTGCCTCAGCCTCCCAAGTAGCTGGGACTACAGGTGATGGCCACAATGCCCAGCTAATTTTTTGTTATTGTTGTTGCAGTTGTCATTGTTGGTTAGCTGGCCCGGGCTGGGTTTGAACCTACCACCTTCAGTGTATGTGGCTGGCACTGTAACCACTATGCTACTACGGGCACTGAGCCAACACCCGGCTGTTTTTTGTTGTTGTTGTCATTGTTGTGTAGCAGGTCTGGGTTGGGTTTGAACTTGCCAGCCCTGGTGTATATGCCTGGCACCCTAACCATTGAGATATGGGCGCCAAGCCGACTTTCTACTGTAATAAGGAGCTCTCTCCCTTTTGCATATAAATGTAATCTAAAGGTATTTGCCTTTATGTGTGGCTCTAAATTTCGATGAACATTCATGTGTTCTGCAAATGGTTACTTACCTGTGAATTTTACAGGATATTTTTATATGTAATCTTACTATTTTTATTAAAGCTTCTATACATCTATGTATTTTAGTAGCTAAAAAGGGGTAGGAGCCCGTCACACAATCAGAAACTTTTCTTAAGTTCAACCTGGACATAGAGAACATGTTTTATCCTTACTAGAACCTGTCAATTAATACAAAACACTTGTAACAGTCTAGACAGAAAATTATATACTGCAGAATCTGGTATGTAGAAATATTGTATTTGTCATTGTATAGGACCCAAATTACGTACTTAACCGTCTTTTAGCCTTATGTGTATCTAATGAGTGTCTACTCTTGACATTCTGATAGCGTACACACTTAAAGTTATGTGGTTGCTTATACCATATATTTTTAGTAGGCCTCTTTCAGGCCTACTCAAGACATTCATCCTATACTTTCCCTTCTTTTTCAGGGTAACCTACAGTTGCTGCAGAACTGTCTGGCAGTGTTAAATGGAGACACATAAGCCACTGTCCGCCTTCCTGTTACAAAGGGCTGCCTTCCTTCAAAACTTTTTTTTTTTTTTCATAATTTAGGCCTTTGTGCTCACTGGAAACAAAAAACAGCTGACAAGAGAGTCTTGCTCTTTTCTGAGCAACAGTGGTGTGGCGCTGTGCACAGGCAATGCTGGTCTATGTGGGGAGCAGCGCTTTGGTCCTAGATTGCCGTCCATCACTGGCCTACTCAGAAGTCCAAAGTTCCTTCTTTTCCAGAGTAGCCTCTGTAACTGTGTTTATGTTATGAATGGTATTCCTTCTGGCTGCCAATCTTATTTACCTTTAAAATAATTTCTGAAGTTTAACCCTTTCAAAGTGCATCATTCAAATAAGATAAAAAATACCTTTCTTGAGTTTGGGGGTTTTGTTTTTGTTTTTTCTTTTTACTTTGGTTACTTTGTTTTTAAAAGGCATAGTATACTACCTTAGTTCATTCATGTATCCTGGTAAAGCATTCTAACCAGACTTATTTTTGATTAATGAATATTTCCTAGATGTTTTGGGACAGACTTTATGTAATCTCTATGATTTCTGAAGCAAAGCAATTGCATTATTAGTATGTTTGCCTTAAACTTGTAGACTAAACCAATTACTGTAAAAATAAACAGCGATAACATTGACAGTTTTTAACCATGTGGTCATTGTGTCACTCTCTAAAATGTGGAGTAGCTGCAATAAATCTACTCCCAAACCATGCTTTCCAGTGCAGGTCTTAGTTTTTGTCTTTCTTTTAAAAGGGCATATGGAGGCTCAGTGCCTGTAGCTCAGTGGTTAAGGCACTGGCCACATACACCAGGGCTGGCAGGTTCGAACCCGGCCAGGGCCAGCTAAACAACAATGACAACAACAAAAAAATAGCCAGGCATTGTGGTGGGTCCCTGTAGTCCCAGCTATTTGGGAGGCTGAGGCAGGAGAATCACTTGAGCCCAAGGGTTTAAGGTTGCTGTGAGTTGTGACGTCACGGCACTGTACTGAGGGTAACAGGTCTCAAAAAAAAAAGGCATATGGACAAAGGTCCCCTATCTCTTTGCAAAAAAACAAACTGCTCCTCTGTGCCTACTTCACAGAAGATGGAACCAGACAGAGGCAGGTTACAGGGCTCTTCCAAAGTGGAGAAGCTGGGTGTTCCTGGATTCCATCCTGGTTCAGCTAGTTGACTGAGAGAAGTTGGCTATTGAGCCACTTGGTGGTGTCATGCTGGTGAATAGATGGGTCCCTAAAGGGAAAGAGGTCTGCTCTAAGGAACAGCACTTATGGGAGGTAGGGGCAAGTGGGGTAGTAGAATATTTGAGATAAAAGCTGGTGTACAGACAGGACGCTGGGCCAGCAATCCTTAACATTACAGATACCCTGGCCCTGCCATATCCTTAGTGTACATAATTGTCATACCTGGTCCAAAGTTAGATCAAGAGGTTGGATCTTTTCCACTTGTCTCATTTTTCTCTCATCTGGGAACCGCAGGCATCTGGGCTGGTCACCCCTTGGATCAGTTCCTAGTTTGTTTCCATTTTACCAAACCATTGCGACTGCCTGGTCTGAGTCCCTTTGCCTGTCAAACTTTTCTAGCCTCTCGGGCATGACAGTTACTGCTTTGTCCCTTTAAGGGACACTTCCCAGTGCCATGTGAACTGATGATTTTCTTGTTGGCTGAGAGAGAACTGTGTGTTTTATCCTTTGTGTGACCCTCACCAGTGGGTGAACGCAAGCCCAGAGCCCAAGCTTCTGATTCGGGTGGGCCTTTTAGCTTTAAGCCGCTGCCCCACGGCTCAGGTAGGGTGCTTGCCCTGACCTCCGCCTTAGTGCTCTGCTAAGAAGGACACGCCGACCTACCTCATAGTGGGTGTTAATAAACATTGGTACTGTGCTTTGGAGACATGAAGAAGCTACGTGAATGCTGAGAAGTAGTGAGTTCGGGGCCAAAGACACAACACAGATTTGGCTTATCCCTCAGCTGCTCCGAAGAGAACTGGGAGGCAGGGCAGAAGGTGCTGGCCGTGTCCTCCCAGGGCAGCTGTGGGGACCCACCCTGGCCGACTGGGAGTAGCCGCACCACACTGCAGTCCCCCTTGTCCCTGGTTTCATTTTCCACGGTGTCCATGGCCCACACAGTTAATGGATGCCTGAAAATATTCAATGGAAAATCCTAGAAATACAGCCCATACAGTTCATATTTCGTGTTCTGAGTAGCATGGTGAAATCTCTTGCTGTCTCCCTTAAACACTAGATCACTGGACCCACTACCTGCCCATTAGTCACGAGCTGTTTGGTTGTCGGGTCTCAAAGGAGGAGGAAGAATACAACATATATTTTAAGTGCAAGATCACACAACTTGGGATAACATTCGTAATAGTATATTATTAAGTGTCCTATTATTCAGGTGAGTGTTGTGCTTGATAAACTTTGTTCATAGCAAACATGTATAGGAAAGAAAACAGTATACAGGGCAGTGCCTGTGGTTTAGTGAGTAGGGTGCCAGCCCCATATAGCCAGGGTGGCAGTTTCAAACCAAGCCCGGCCAAACTGCAACAAAAAAATAGCTGGCCATTGTGGCAGGTGCCTGGTCGCAGCTACTCAGGATGCTGAGGCAAGAGAATCACCTAAGCCCAGAACTTGGAGGTTGCTGTGAGCTGTGTGACGCTGCCATGGCACTCTACCGAGGGTGACAAAGTGAGACTCTCTCTAAAAAAAAAAGAACACAGTATACAGGTTTGGTCCTCTCTGAGGTTTCATGCATCCACTGGGGGTCTTGGAATGTATACCCGGTGGATAAGGGGGGACTCTTGTACATATGCACACGCATGGAGAGTTGACAGTCCTGGTATGCAAGGCTGCCTCACAAAACACACAGGGGAGAGAAAAATGTATATAATTCAGGCAGCCTGGTTCTCTGCCTCAACTAACAGGTTCTCCAGAACAGTTAGTTGAAAAACACGTATTCCACAGCTGTCAGTCCCTGATAAAACTGGCCAGCCAGATTCACTGCTGTTGAGAAATTTCATTTTTGTTTCTTTGGGGTTTTTTTAGAGACACTTTATCGCCCTCAGTAGAGTGCATATTGTCACACACAGTTCACAGCAACCTCTAACTCCTGGGCTTAGGTGATTCTCTTGCCTCAGCCTCCCGAGTAGCTGGGACCACAGGCGCCCGCCACAAAATCCGGCTGTTTGCGGTTTGCTGCCCCGGGTTCTAACCGCCACCCTCTATATATGGGGCCAGCATCCTACCCACTGAGCCAAGGGCACTGTCCATGACATTTCATTTTACACTTTTTTTTTTCTTTTTCTGAGACAGGGTCTCTCTTCGTTCCTGGGGCTAGAGTGCAGTGGCGTCATCATAGCTCGCTGCAACCTCAACCTCCTGGGTTCAAGCGATCCTCCCACCTTGGGCTCCCAAAGTGCTAGGATTACCCGCACCGCAGCCCGACCCCGACCCATTTCACGCTTAATTGACCATCTGTTGGGTCGGAATAGGAAGACACCGAGTGAGAGGGGAAAGGCTGTCGTTTAGGACTCGCTTCGCCAGTTTAGAACTGCATTGCAAGACGGTCCTCCGGGCCCCCCAGAAGCGGACCGAGCTTACCGCGTGGGAGGGCTGGGGTTTCCCTCTCGGTGGAGCCCTGTTTCACGGAGGATGGAAGCGTCCATGCTTCAGGAGGAAGGGGAACGCCCTGGCAGTGGGTATGGTGGGGGAATGGGGGTTGTTGCAGTCAGGGGGAGGATGGCTGGAGTTGAAACTGCAAGAAAGTGGGTCTCCTTGCAGGCCACTGCGGCTCAAAGGCTGGGTGCGACGTCTTGTACCTGATTCGGAAAGGTTCAGGAGGTGCTCTCGCTGCCTCCTCGTGAAACGATAGAAGTTGAGCCTGGACTGATCTCTCGGAACTGGTCACACTGCACAAAATAGAATGAGTAAGACCGGAGCGAGGGGGCGTGAGTATTTGCTTTGGGGGTGGGGGGGAGGAGGGGCGTGGGAGAAGGAGCGATTCGGGGGATTTAAAACAAGGGAGTGAGCTCGGCGCCTATAGCTCAACCAGCTAAGGCGCCAGCCACGTACACCTAAGGTGGCGGGTTCGAATCCCCAGCCCGGATCCGCCAAACAACAATGACGG